ATCTCCACTTTTCTTGCCTAAGTCTTGGTTTTACGCAGTAAACTCACATTTTTCCTGGTGAACGATGGTGATTTTGCACCTCACTGATTGAACTGTTCTTTTTGTTGGAGAAATCTCCGCTTTGCGGCGAAATCTCGATGATTTTTTAACATCTTCCAGATCTCCAAATCTCCCCATGAATATGGCATTGTTCATCATTGGGTTGCCTTGACTATCATTATTGTTCATTATTGTTCATTATTGTTCATTATTGTTCATCATTATTGGGTAACCAACAGTTCTATCATATTCTTGGTTGCCTTGACCTGGTCTTTGACCTCTTGTTCACCAAGTTTGCCTGGTCATAACAGTACCGAATAAACAAGCTATCGATTTCTTTCGTTCTTGGTGGAATTCCCAGGAATTCCATAGTTACTCTAGTTCAATCACACTTATTCTGGCTTAAATCCATGGTTAAATCCCCATTTTTTTCACTCTTCAAACATGTTAAAATAACCAAGTTGGTTTATAACTCCAATAACTATGGTTTATGGTACTTATAACTATAGTTACTGTGGCTTTTGTTAACCAACTTACCCAAGGGGGAACGTCTCCCAAATCTCCTGAAGTCTCGGCGTCACCTCCGCCTTGGCGTCCAACAGCACGGTGACCAACGGCTGCGACGAACTGCTCGAGTCCGCCATGAGCGCCAGCAGCAGCGGTGTGGCGCCAGCGCGGTGCGACGCGATGTTGGGGGAGGCCTTCGGGGATGGGATGCAGAAATGGATGGAATAAGCATGGAATAAGCATGGATAAGCTGCAGATTTTGGATGTTTAGATGATTTTAGCAAAGCTGTTTCGAACTCAGAAAGCCCCTATCCTTTGATTAAAGGATTTGGTTTTGCACTAGGAATCGCCAAGACATGTTGTGGTTTGATAGTTGAACGAAATTCCCCTGCCATGCTCCAGGATGCTCAGGATTGAATGCAGCTAGCCGATTTGAACAGTGATTGCAATACCAGGTCAATACCACCTTTTTCAAAAAACTGGCCACATGCACCAAGGTGACACTTGTGATTCAGTCGCCAAAGATCATCGCATGTTCCAACAGTTCCAATAACATCAAAACCAACAGGGTAACCATGCCGTGGCACCTTGGCTCCTAGCAACAGCTTCAGGATGTCCAAGTGCCCTTCCCTAGTGGCGTAGAACACGGCCGTGTAGCCAGTTTCCTCCTGGGGTACCACGGGTACCACCCCACAAGAACGGTGAAATGACAAAACGACAGGAGTCAACTGTGCATTGTTCACTCGAGAAGCTAATCACAACTATGTGTTTTTTTCCATGTTATACCGGTATACCGTGTATACCCAATACAAGAAACCTTCGATGATAGCGACCATTTCTGGTAAAATTAGGGACGGTCTACTCTTTGCCACGATCCTCTCGCGCATCGAGATACGAGCTGCGACACGAAGTCACACAGAGATAGCGGCACCTTAGTGAAAGCCACGCTGAGACCTTGAGACAATGCATCAGCTCTGAGCTCTCAACTCAGGGACAAAGGATAGTGGTGATGTTGGTGATACAGTAGTTTCTACTGTAATGGCAGAACTGAAATGACACTCAGGTATGAATTGCGTTTCACCATCATCATCATCATCATCAACATCATCATGATCATGATCATGATCATGATCATCATCATCATCACCATCATGATCATCATCATCATCATCATCATCATTTTCGGGCGTGACTGCCTGAAAGGAAACATCCAAACTACAGTATAGGCCCTACTCAAAGCCCCTTGGTCCATCCCCCAAGCTGCAGACAGCTCAGTCCATCCTTGCTCCGCAGCCAACATCAGCAGAGTCTGTCCATCATCAAAGAGCGCCGTAGACAAATCAACTCCCAGCTGACAAAGGCCTCAAGATATACGGCAGGTGGAAGAAATCCACAAGTCATCCACGGATTCAAGCGAAAATCTGGAAGACAAAGGATTGAAACCAAGCCTCAGCTTCTTGGGATTCTTCAATTGTCAACATGTGAAACTGACATGGTCAAAGAACGTCAAGAACCTCGATGTTGTCCGTGAAACCGGTAAGAATCAACAGAAATCAAGCAATCTCACCAGAAATCCTCACCGGTATGTTTGGTGTCATGATGGGAGTATTTAAGTTCTGGAACTTTCTGGGGAAATCAGAATACAATATTATTTACTGTATAGTTGGAATATCTTGGAATACCTTGGAATACCTAGGAATACCTTGGAATACCTTAGAAAATCTTAAAATCTCTTGGAATATCTTGGAATGTTTTTGAATATCTTGGAATACCTTGGAATATTTTGGAATATCTTGGAATACCTTAGAAAATCTTAAAATCTCTTGGAATATCTTGGGCTATCTTGGACTATCTTGGGCTATTCTTGGAATATTTTGGAATCTCTTGGAATATTTTGGAATCTCTTGGGCTATTCTTGGAATATTTTGGAATCTCTTAGAATATCTTGGCATATCTGAGAATATTTTGGAATATCTTGGTATCTCTCTGGAATATTTTGGGATACCTTGGCGTATTTTGGAATATCTTGGAATACCTTGGCATATCTGAGAATATCTTGGAACGCCTTGGAAATCCTTGGGATATGTTGGAATATTTTGGAATACCCTGGGATATTTTGGAGTACCTTGGAATATTTTGGAATGCCTTGGAATATTTTGGAATACATTGGAATGTTTTGGAATATCTAGGAATATGCCTGGAATATTTTGAAATATCTTGGAGTACCTTCGAATATTTTGGAATATCTTAACATATGAATCAGTAGGGATTCAGCAGGCCTTCACCGCTCCACCTGCTGCTCTGCGGGCCATTCGGGCCATTTCCAAGTCGGCGCCCTCGCAGCTGTCTGTCGCGTCCGGCGGCGGTGGTGGCGCTGGGGGTGCAGGTGGCCGCCACCAATCGCGGCGCTGCCTTCCCAGGATCTTCGGGCATTTGTTGAGGTTGATCCTATGACGATATTAGTTAACCCACTTAGTAACGTTAGGCATATATATATAATATTCACGTCGCTTCGCGACGGCAACCGCCCGCACCGCATCGTTGGGCAACCGCTCGTAACTGCCAATGATGTCGGCCATTGAGACCAAAAACATCCGAAAGTACTGATTGTCGGAAAAAAAAACGCGAAGAATTTGATAGCCATGTATAGCGGACCAGCGCAGTTCAAAAAATAACGAAAAACATGAAAAAACGGCGAAATTGCCGTTATTTACAGTGTTTTTGCGCGGTGAGAAGCAGAAACCACTGCAAATACCATGGTTTTTGAGGGTCAGGTGGCCAAAAACACTGTAATTTACAGTGTTTTTTTAACCAACGTCAAAAAACACTGGTATTTACGATGTTTTCATTCACACCGTAACATAAAACAGCGTAATTTACGAGGTTTTTGGAAGTTTTGAAGCTAGCCGTCAAGCATGCAGAAAACAGAAAAACACTGTAAAAACCAGTGTTTCTGCTATCACAAAACGACGAAAATCAGTCCGAAAACGGGTCCAAAAACTCAAAAATCCGCCTCCGGGCCCGGCCACCTGCGGAACCGCAAAAAAAGATGTTGCAAACCAAAAAATTGAGGTCAAAAAGTTGAAAAACACAGGTTTTTTTCACTTTTCGCTTGCCGATTTTGGACGGGCGCGTTCACGAACAGGTGTCTTCCGTACTGTTTTTTACAGTGTTTTTTGAAGGCGAGCGTCACGACCTATCAAAAACAGGAGGTTTTGGCCGAAAAATGGGACCCCCCCCCCAGGTAAACCTGTAACCTTTTACGAGTGCCATCCGGAAGATCACGCCCCAGCACCTTCAGGGATGTGCCCCGAAGTTATGTCAGTAATAACTTAAGTTGTTGCACTTATTTCACTTATTTTGAACTTATTTTGAAGTTATATAAGTAGAGTTAAGGAATTTGATAAGTAAGTTATAACTTAGATAACTATACAAAGAGGTGCAAAAAGGCTTTTTTTTTCGAAAACAAGAATAAAAATAATTTTATTTGTTTTGTGATGAAGTTCCATTTGGACGCCAAGTTCCATGGGTTGGAATGCACATGAGTTTTTTTTTGGGGGGGTATATATATAAATACATATATATTTATAATCTGAAAGATGTTGCTAAAAGGATTGCAGGCGCAACCCGCGGTGGAAGAGGTCAAACCTTTTTTTTTTTCGTTTCTTCGGACGGCGAAGCATGATTCACAAACAAATGACATATTTTTGATCGATGTACCACCAATTTGGGTGATGACACCGTTGGAGCTCCTGGATGTCTATGACACATTTTTGCCCACTACGTAAGAACTTCTGCCTGCAAATGTTGCTCTCTGCGCACGCTGTTAAATTTTCAAAGACCATCATCACCTGATCTGTTTTTTTGGCAAATAGAGAAACGATCCCAGCACCATGCTGCCAAAGCACCACTTGTTCTCGTTTGATCTGCAAGCTTCCAAAGGCATACCCTGCACTGATTTCCGCGTCAGTTCCGGGCATTTCTTTCTCGACATCTTCAGCAGAATAAACCGGTGGCAGCATCTCATTGCACCATGGTTTGTCGATGAGTTGCTGTGTGATCATATTCAGCATTCGACCCAGGATATGCAAACCCATCTTGCCGTCTTTTTCGGACCATAGATATTGTAAGCAATCTGCAAGCATTCTTTTGTACAGTTTGTGACGTGCTTCGGTGGGAAACATGTCGATGTAAACTCCAAATTTCTCGTAGAGTGCTGGCAGATGAAGCCGCAAATGATGCTTTGGTCGGACTTGGCCAGGATAGCAAGCCACGAAAAGACGCTGATGTTTCTCTTGTGCTAACGCTAAGCTCCTTGTCCACTCGAGACTTCGTCGGACTTCTCGTAGTGCATGAAAGACCTGACTTGCTTAATCAAACTCTATTCATGTGTTTCTCTGTTCAAACTGTTAAAAACTTGAACAAAATGATGCCGATCGCGGAAACAAAATAGATCGGCCTCAAGCAATGCTTTGAAGCTTTGCCATTCAAGTGGATCTTGACCGTCGAGCAATTCGAACCCGTAGAATCCAAGCAGTGGAAGCAAATACCAGGATGCAGTGGCTTCACCTTTGTGACATGTACCATTCCAAAGAGAAGGATGAAAGAGATGCCCGATGGCCGATGGAGACCTGTAATCAGGATTCGAACAGTTCCATTTGACTTCTTTTGCAGCTTTCTGGATATCTTCGAGTTGAACATTATGTTCGTTTCCGAGATAATTCATGAAGAGGACTATCTCTTGGGATACGCAACCATTGCTAAAATAGCAATGACAACTGTCAAGCATCAAATGCTTCAGCGAGAGAAGTGCTCGCAAGTCTGGTTTCGCCATTAAGGAAGCAGGATCCACATTCCAACCAAAAAACTTCTCTTCTTCTTCTGCTTGACGCTTTGACATGTTCGGAAACTCTCTCAGGTAGCGGTCGTACAGTTGAAACAATTCCTCTGTATCATAGGGTTGGCAGTTCGATGTCGAAGCTTCTTCAATTGTCGTAAAGTAATTGTCTCTTTCTGCTTCCACTCGGCCCTTCGCCAAGACATTCATGCAGAGGCAGCATGGTCTGATGGCACTTGCACCGCGGGATCCAAAAACCGCTCGGACAGACTCATAGTCTCCAAGATATGTGAAAAGTTTTAATTGAAATGCTGCACCCAGCACCGTGAAACCGTTGAACCATCCTTCCCTCTGAAAGAATTGCAACAAGGCTACAAAAATTGCACTTGTGCCGGGTCCTTTGATACCAGCGACATCACGTGCTGGAATGGCCGCCAGAGGAAGATACGCTCCAGGTCTATGAAGTTCTCCCAGTTCCAAAATGGCACAGTACACCATAAGAACTTTTTTCGATGTGGCTACGCTCAGTACGTTTCCCCCAGTGCATTCATCCGCTGTGAGAACCAGCGATACGGTATGATTTGGGATGGCAAAGAGACGGTTTCTATACCAGCCAGTGTTCCCACATATATATTCCAGCATCATGGGAAGATCTCCAGCATAGAATCTGATGTCTTCTTCTTTCTCACCTTTCACAGACAAGGCCTTGAAGCATTTCTGGGTACCTGCGTTGATCTGGCCGCACTTTCGTTTGAATGCTCCAGAGGCTTGCTTGGAACCATCGCCATCGGCAGATAAAATCTTGTGGATCTTATGCACTACGTTTTGTGGGGCCACACAGAACGCTTGCGCCCATTGCTTCTTGGACGGTACGTTGTTCGGCATTGGACCAGTGACGGCTTCTTCGGAGAATTACGCACGGTAAAGACAGTGTGTCCTAAATGCAATCACTTTTTCCGATTCGACCGGGCGCAACCCGCATAGACGCACTATAGAGGCGGACCCCAACCGGACATTAATCTATATGTACATATATACACATATACGGATATACTTATATCGATTTGGATACACATTTACATATATATATATATGCTGACTGGGTCTTCTGTCTGTCTGACAGTGATTTGTCGTACGGTACTGCCGCCAAAAAAAAAAGGGACGTAAGTGCCGTTACTGCATTTTTTTTCGCTAAAAAGTCTCTGTCTCCTCTCCTTCGATTTTACGGAGATGACACGACAGCTTCTGCCTAGTTTTCGGCGGCACTCACTGTCTGCATGACCTCGTCCAACCAGTGCCAGAAAGGATCCTCTAGAAACTGCTGTAGTTGCACTAGATTCGCCAAGCAGTAGCGGACTTCTGCAAAGAATTTCTCTTGGTTCGGATGCATCACCGTCCAGACACCCTTGTGAATCCTTGGAAACTGAGGCAGGGGATCTTCGATCAGGAGCCGCGGGCTGCTGTCATCCACATGCCATCCAGACAAGAGAGCCCGTACTGTGAAAAGCAGGTGCCGCATCCACTCCATAGCTTGGCTCAGCGCCCCCTCAGCATCTGCGATGCGCACTTGTTTTTGCACTTCACGGATGCATTCAAATTGGTCAGCCAGTCGATCTAATTGATCGGGATCCAGGTTCTGCTGCGATAGCACGTCCAAAACACTTTGTGCCACCACGAACGTGCAGAGAAGCGCCATGAGTCCGAGGTCGGGTTTCTTACCCAGCTACACTTCTGCGCGTCTGTGCTGGACGTGGCAACGTCTGCATTCCATGGATCCCTTGATTGTTTATGTGTCACGCATTATATATATATATATATAGATGGCGCAACCATCAATGAATCCATCGTATCTATGCGATGCCGCAAGCATCCAAGAGTGAAATCACCTTGCAACTGCAATCCGACATATATTGCCATACACCGTTAGATTCCTATATATGCTGCCAAAACATGGCATGAGACTGTGGAAGTATTTTGGAATCGATACATTTCTATATATATATATACATATACATACTGTAGAGACGGACAACCGTCGTGGGACGTACTTTTGGGCTCCAGCAGTGCGGTGGGCTCGCTGCAAAAGAGATTGCGTGGTCACGCCACGTCGAAGCATAGACGGTCCTTAAGAGCACTTTGTGCATACTATTTCAAAACTTGCCTCTACCAAGGCGATGCGACGAGATCTCCTCAGGACTTTTGGGGCTGCAACGTTTTCTTCGCCGCCTGCATCGCTTTGATGGTGTCACCAAAAGCTTTCAACTTCGAAGCCATGTCCTTTTCGGACGAAAAAGAGATCTCACTCAAGGGTACGTTCTGGCCGGCGGAAATTTTCTTCATCGCACTGACTAATTCGTCATGATATGTGTTCACGTCTGTCTCCGCTGTCTTGACAAGCTCGTTGGTGACGCTTGGCAAGTCGGCCTCATGAGGCTTCAGCTCAGCAACCAATTTCAAAACTTTCTCTCGGATGGGCCGCAGAGTGGGCAGTCCCTTGCCAGCCATGGCACTGATCATCTTGGAGTCCTTTGCGGCCTGCGCTTGTTCTTGGCGCAAAGCCTTGCGCAAAGTCGCTCGCTCTGATGCCGTGGAGGAGCTGCGCGCCGTGGTGCAAGCTACTATCACGCAATCCTCCGTCTCCATGTCTGACAAGCCTTCCAAGGCGGCATCAGCTTCTAAGGCCTCTGCCGTTGGAGGATCCTCTTCCACTGGCACCACATTCTTACCTTTGCCTTTGCCCTTGGTCTTGCCCTTCTTGGGCGCCTTTGCCTCTGCTTCTTCTTTCAGTGTTCGCTTGCGCTTGACTGCTGCTTCCATTTCAAGCACCTCTGTCTCAGATTGCTCATGGGACCACTTCGTGCTCACTGACAGCAAGTCTACTCGGTAGCATGTTCCAAACACTGCATGCTCCTGCTTCTCACCCTGTTCCTCCACCTTCTTCTCATCGTACCCGTTCGCTTTCCACCAGCTCAGCGGCTGATATGTGCCGTCGGCCGAACGGGTGTATGTCACGGCGATTCTCTCTGCGATCTGATTCTTCATCAGGTTTCGGACGGCCTGGTACCGCAGTGGGCCATTGGTTTCCTTTCTCTGTGCATGGACCTTGCGACAGAAAGCAACCATGTCGTCACCAGGCATCTGTTGCTGCACTGCTGAGACGGATAGTTGCTTGCCCAGCATTGCAAACAGAGCATGGCAGGACTTGCAGCAAGGCCGCGAGTGCGGAGCTTTCGGAGCTGCTGTCTCTTCGATGGTCATAGGCAGGCGACACTTCTCACATACGGCATTCACATTTGCCTCTTCCTCCTCTGCAGGCACCATGGCCTTGGATGGGGTCTCGCTCACTGACGCCATGGCCTTGTCTGTTCTGACACGCTTGCTTGAGATCTCACAGCTTGGCGTTTGTCTTGCAAAATATAGCACTTGATAACCATTGGCAAATCTCTATATGTACATGTAGCAGGCGCCACCCGCACTCTCTATCTGTTGTGAGTTTGACAGGAGGTCGAAGTATATATGAGTATAGACAGTATTCACGTCTTTGCTACAATGAATCTGCCAGAAGTAGATTTCGTAGAAAGGATTCGGATTTGAGAGCTCGTATATAGGTTGTGGGGTGGCTGTATTCCCCCAATGAGCTGCGTCATTCCTATCTCGGGATGTGTGGCACGGGTGCTCTCGAGGGTTGCTCGGGGAGGTCGGGATGTGTCGATGTCTCGGGATTTGTCGGGATGGTGGCTCGGGAGTGTCTCGGGGTTGTCTCCGGGGGTCTTGGGGTGTCTCGGTTTGACGCGGGGTGTCTCCGGGATGTCCTGGGGTATCTGGGGATGTCTCGGGGTGTCTCGGGCGGCTGTCCCTCGGTGTCTCGGGAGTGTCTCGGGGATGTCTCGGAGATGTCTCGGGGTGTCTCGGGAGTGTCTCGGGGATGTCTCGGGGATGTCTCGGGGTGTCTCGGGAGTGTCTCGGGGATGTCTCGGGAGTGTCTCGGGGATGTCTCGGGATGTCTCGGGGTGTCTCGCGGTGTCTCGCGGTGTCTCCCGGTATATACGGGTGTCGGTCGTAAACAACACGCATGGATGGGCACAACCCATCCTGCATGGATGGGCACAACCCATCTCGTAGGCACAACCCGTGGTCCATGCGGTCTTTTTTTTTTTTCTCATCTTAAACTTTAGGTTGGTGCTCCGGCCAGAGGCACTTGGGCAATTTGTAGCCCTTGACTCGCAGGCCACCGCGTTTTCTGTCAACTCCATGCACGAAGTGCTCATATTTGCGGCGGCTTCCAAACATCTCTGTGTAGCGAGGATCTTTCCAGAGGGTCGGTGGCCTGCCGTGCACATATATGTTGTACGGCCCTTGGGCGGGTGCACTTGCGCTCGAAGCTTCGGTGGCACAACTTCTCTTCCTGGAGGGCTTGATCCGGAACGAAGGAGACCTCGTGGGTTTGATCTGCTGCGACTTTGCTTTTGTAGCATCCTCCCGACTATCGTTGGATTTGTGTGGCATCACTTGCACCAGCTCACCGTTAGCTCGTTGCTGCCACATGCCCTCCATTGGCGGCGTACCTTTGGGCATGGTTCTGTTTTCTCCGTGTATACATACACTTCCATATAAATGACCAGCTGTCCCTTGTGGAAATAAAAAAACGAACAGTTATTAAGAGAATCTGCCGGGAAACGTGGGACGGCGAAGTCGGATGCTATGTCACATTGCTCAGCAGTTGCCATGGCGTAGCCACGGGGGGGCAGTTGCATAGGTATATGTCTGCCTTACATTGTTTCAGAGGCGGTGGTCCGCTTTTTTTTTGCCTTTTAAATTATACCTCGTAGTGGCTATATATGGATGTACCCATTTGTGTAATGTCTATGGTTTCGTAGCGGTCGGCCGCTGTAGGTTTGCTTACTGGAGCTGTCGTTTTTTTCCCACTGTCTCGTTTGCTTTCTGGTGCTGAGCTGCCAAAATAACATACGATGAATGATGAATATATGGATGGCACAACCATCCGGACAACAAATTCGAACGATAAAAATATATCAGACTGAAAAAAAAAGTCGATTGATTCCACAGACGCAATGGCGCAACCAGCGCGAGTACGGTAGAAGCATGGCACTCATCATCTATATATATATATATAGCATCAAGGCGGATGAAAATGATCCGGGCGCAACCCTCGAACAGAACGGCGGTGTTTCCTTTCACTGGTTGTGCTGCTGGTCTGCTTTGTGGCTCTTGCGAGGTCGGAAGACTCCGTAAGTGAGTTCTTCGTACTGTCTGCGGCCTGTGAAACGTCCCCGCCAGCGCGGGTCTTGCCATTCACTTCTGTCGTACCAGGGTGGCAGCTGTCCCCATGGTGTCACAGCCGACGTCTCTGCCGCGGAACTATAGGAAGCCGGTGCCTCACAGTTTGGTCCGCTCTGTGGTTCCGGATGGGTGAGCTGCACCCATGGGGACTCGCACGCGGTGCTGCCTGTGCGGCCAAGGCGGACTCTGGAGACCATATAGGTGCCGGCACTGTCGGCCGCAGGGGAAGAGGCGGCTGCATGTTGTCGCTGCTCCTGGCTTTGGATCTCATCCTGCAAGAGTCGATCCAGCAACAGATTCTGCAAGACTGGGAGCTTTCTCTCCAAAAAGGCCTGCGGTGTCTCCCTTGTGCCCCAGGATTGCACTGCCGGAGTCGTGCTGTCTGTCGGTGGGCTCGCAGGGTGCTGACGAGCAGAGTCATCGGCAGTAGCATCTTGGAGGACAACTTTGCTAGTTTCCGGAGCTCCGTGCTGCGCAGGGATGCCAGCAAGATGTGGACGAGCAGATGAAGCGGCAGCAGCATCTGTAGGGATACCGGTGCTGGTGCCCCAGTTTTTTCTTTCCGGAGGCTCTGGCTGCGCGGAGCCGGCAGCAGCAGGTTGCGGCGCAGAGTCAGCCACAACCTCGTTGCCGAAGACGTTGGTCAGGTAGACCTGCAGGAACGCGTCGGGCACAGAGTCGGCTTCGCTGGCGTCGCTGGGCTCTGTTGGAGACGTGGCCATGGCAACGAGGAAGCCGGCCCAGATTTTATGAAGCTGAGGTGCGGTCGTTGTTGTCTCATGAGCATGTTATAGTTCTGGTTCCTCGTATGGGTTTACGATATGGAAACCTGTGTTTGCTTTGTGTTCTGTATGCCTTTCTGCACTGTATACAAGACACAAAACAGTGTTGCCCTGAGGAGGTTTGGTTTCGATTTCCTATCTCCATATCTTTTCACTCGCATTTCTCGAATCTACTGGTATGAGCGTGTATATGTTGCCGGTACAACGGAGACAGAGTGCATGAGTTCGAACTCCAGCAGCGTACCATTGGCTTCGAATGTTCGTGTGGAAGATATCGTATCATGGAGATGGCACAACCATCTGAAGGGAAAAAACCTAGTCGTGGTGATTTGATGATGATGAAATGTCGATATATTATAGTGGCACAACCACATGGAAAGGAAAGGAAAGGAAGAATGCGATCTCATCTGTCGAGATGGCACAATCATGGGATGGATAACATGTATTCAACGGCTGCTGATGGAAGTGTGATCCCTTGTAGTGGCGCAACCACTCGAAAACGAAAGGAAAGAAGGAACGCGCTTGTGTTTGTAGAGATGGCACTACCACCTGGCTGCGGTACAGAAAAACGCAGGGTAAGCAGTCGAACACTTTGTCATTCCCTCGGAAGAATTGTCACCTCGCGGTTCTTTAGATGCTGTAGCCGCGTTTGAGCCAGCAGCTCAGTGTACAAAATGGAGCTCCTCTGCAAGAGGAGCAACCGTATTTGAACTCCAGCTTCACTGCCGGAAGAACTTTGCGTAAAATTTTCTCCTTGAGCTTCCGTTTGCTCTCACGGGACATCCCTTGGATATCCTTGATGCAGTTCTTCGGCTTTGATGTGGTCGAAGTCTTTGTGGATCCAGTGGTTCTGACGGATTTCTTCTTGTGCTGCGCACTGTGGCCGAAGCAGGTCGCTTCAGAAATTTCGTTTTTGAGGCCTGTGAGCTGGAACTCTGCGAAGATGGTTTCAGAGTGCTTGAAGAAGCAGGTCTCTTCATGCCAGCATTGCTCGGAGAGGTCGTTTGTCCAGACTCTTTTTTGGCTTCCTTCAACTTACCAATGCTGTTTTCCAGAGATAGATTGCGTGGATTCTTCAATGGTTGCTCTGGAAGGTCGTCTTCTGAAGGTGCGACCTTCTGCATCTGGGGACATTCTGCTTGTGGCGGCTGCGCTCTGTGTGACGGTGCAGCCGGTACAACTGGCACTGCGGCAACATCTTGACGTTGCTTGTCTCCACCTGCCGTGTCCACAAGGCTGGAAGTGGCGGTGGGCGGATCATGGACACTGCAATCTGTCAAGGCCAGTGGAGCCTGCTTGACAGAGCTAGCCGTCGTTGAGTCGAGTAAGATTCCCAAGGGACTTTTTCGAGCCGGACCCATTCGAAAGTCTATGCCATCATGGCGTGTCAACGCCATAGAGCCAGCCATCATCTGACCCAACTGCACCAAGCCCTGCAACATCTGTAGTTGATCTTCTTTCCCTTTGCCTCTCGCCAGTTGAAGGCCTGAGCTGTCATCAACAGCTCAGACACGCTCATCCTGGGCTTCACCAGTTCTAGGTGGGTTCTGATGGGCAGAGACTCAGGCAGTTCCTTGCTGTCCACTGGCAAGCGTTCCATGTAATGAGCTGCTTCGACCTTGGTCTGCTTGAAGGGCAGCAAAATCTGGCTAATCTGAGCTTTCACACTCGTCAGAAAGGCATAGCCGTTGTCGATCAGCTTCTGGCGCGCAGCAGCCTCAGGTTCTCGCAAAATCAATAAGGAAGTCAGCGTAGCACTGGTGGACTCACTTGGACATCTGAGTTTGAAGTCTCTGGCTAGCATCTGCGTGATCTGCTTCACTATGACGACATTATCGATCTTCTGATCTTCCACTGCATCCCACATGGCCGAGCTCAAATAGAGGGGAAATGCAGAGAAATCCTGCATGGCAGATCTCGTCCGACTTCCCTTGTCTCGGCCAGGAACTTGAAGGCCTGGCGCCACTGGTGCTTCTTGTTGCCGCTCTTGTGTTGCTGCAGCCGCCAAACCATGGCTACCGAAAGACGCCATGTCGTAAAAGAATGAACTTCTGTGACGATGTAGAACTTGTCTATATATGGTTTGTCTTGGAACTAAATATGCTATCATGGATCTTCCAAGTCGCACTTGCCTACACGGTCTGCCGTTCAGAGATCATGCTAAAAACTGGTCACTGAGAAAAATGTGGCAGGCACAAAGTGAAGGAAGTACACTTGTGAATTTATGAGAAGCACCGAATAATGCTAGTCTGGCAGGCACAACCCGCGTAAGCATGGAAACTCCTTCAATGATATAAATGATGCGCACGTGTTTGTAATCTGAACCCATCAGAATATGTTGAGTTAAGAATAGACAAAACCCGCGGTCTGTAAATATCTATAAGCTATCGTATTCTATATAGAAAACTGTATAGGCACAACCCAACCTTCCAATCAAACAACGCAGCATCAGGCACAACCCGATCTGCCACCACGCCCAACGGAATAAAACCCTGTATTTTTTTTTCGGACGTTGCCTGCGTCTGCTTAGGCACTACCCAAGCAATGACCAAAAAATCACTGTCTAAATGAAAAAAAATAAATAAATAAAATGTTCTTCCTGGTAAAAAATCTCTTTCGCACATTTAAAAAAAAAACAGACGTAATATACAGCGGACTACCGCTTAACAAACCGTATTTCAAAATTTTCTATCGTTTCCGCCAAAACAGACGAACTGATTCAAGGATACATAAAAAAAAATAAAAAGCGGGCGACCGCTAAGGAAGAAAAATATTATCTCGATCTGAGACCACTTCAAATGAAAAAAAAATACTACCGTTATAAAAACATAGAAAATAAAGCGGGCGACCGCTGACCATACCAAAAAGAAACCACAGTTCTAATCAAATACTCAATCAAAAACCAACATATTCTAAAATAATCTCAAAAAGATTATTAAAAAAAAGAAAGAATTCAAATAAAAAATGTAGAACAAAAAAAAACTATGCAAATGAAAAATGATGTAAAAAACTCTAAAAATAACTTACTTATAAGTTCCCGATAACTTCAAACAGCTCAAACTTTAACTTAGTTATTTCTCCATCAACTTCCACAACATAGTTGTAACTTACTTATAAGTCCAAAAATAGTTATCCTACTTAGCCTCACATATAACGGAACTTAACCCGTGTTATTCCTTTTATAAACATACTTAGCTTAACTTATAAGTGAAACAACTTGGGGGCACATCCCTGTTCGGTGCGGGCGGATTTGGATATTTGCTCCTGTCCCACGAAACTTTAGTTAGGTTGATCCCAAATTCAGTGTTAGTTAAGATATTTTTGGATCTTCTTGAACCACGGGAAATGCATCAACTGTCATGCGCAATTCAACAATAGTTTCTGCGTTTCCGGCTGGTGTTGTGGAGTGGTTAGGTTAGATCCCTACATCATCCATGTTATCTTCGAATATTCCATGAAATAAGCCATGCATTTCGGGATCCCCCATGACTATGGACACCCTGAGCCACGTCATGCCCCTTTCACCGCGCCTGCGTCGCAGCTCCGCAAAGCCCCGAAGCTGCGCCACTTCGCCCTGCGCCAACACCAGGCGCTGCGCGTCGTCGGAGAAGGCTACCTCCGAAACGCCTCGAGAGCAGGGGAACCAACGAAGCAAAACTGGGGATGGAACCAACCGATAGGGATTTAACATGAGTTCACTACAATTATAAACCCAACTCAACCCCTACGAGAAAGGGTGGTTGACACCAAAAATCTTGATTCAAGCAACACAAATTTGTGCTTTGATATACGCTTTCACGCGTTCACTGCAGGAAGCTGTGTTTCAGAAATGCTGTCCAACCAAATCAACAAAATGAACCAACTAAGCAACAAAAGCAATTCATTAATAGCTGGATAGCAAGCTGCCAGCTGAAAACGTGACACATAGATCCAAATCAAAAAGCACCCACCGCAGTACAGGTCGGTGTAGGCGATTAACATGATTTAACTGCATTAAACTTATTACTTCATGAGTTTGCTCGGAAATTTAGTACATTTCGAGAATGTCAAAGGTACCAAACTTTCACTAATTTCACTATATCTCACTAGTATTCAAGCATCATAACATATCATAACAATCCAATTTTGCCGGGTCGATCACGTCGATCATCCATGTCATCCCATCTCACCCTGTCCAGGGACGGACGTTCAGCTGCGTCCACCGTTGGCTGCGCTCATTCCAGGCGTGCCAGGACCCCGGATCTGAGGGCAGCTGAAGGCCATCCTTGCGCCGAAAAACACCGTGAAATCTTTGGGGCCTCCAAATTTGGGCGAAAAATGGTGCCAATATTTCGCCAATAGCAATCCAAATCTGATTTTTGTTGGCGTCATTGGAATTTCTTCCAAGATTTTACAACATCAAGACTCAACCAATCATCAGCGGTTTTTGGAAGACCTGAGATATCTGCCGGCCCAAACTGGATCGGAAGCACCAAAATATGGGAGCTACTCCAGTTCTGCCCAAGGCGGTCCTGCTGCACCTGGTAAAGGTAGCACCGGTTCCAATCGAAGGCTTTGGCTTTTGCATCCACACCCCCAAAGCACCAATGTCCAATCCTCAGATTGCGATGAAGCGAAAACCGTGAAGCCATCATTTTTGGGGCGAGAGTTTTAACCCAAACCCAAGCTGATGGTACGTTCCGCTTTTAGCTGTATGGTGGAGTGGTCAAGTTGATGCTACTAAGGGTATTGAGTTGAGCTGCTCGAGGGAACCCTGCAAGTTGCAAGTTTCGAGACTTGGATAGATTTGTCAGCAACACCGGGGCAAATTGTCAGCCAGAGGAAAAGTGACATTGCATGCGTAGGTTAGGAGCAGAGGCCAGAAGAGGGCTCGTGCATAGATACCCTTCTAGCGAGAGTTTCAGCGTAGGCGAGACGTAGGCATTGGCAAGGGCCTTTCGCATGTAACTAGCGTAGTGGACCCGGGCACCCAGTAGCATGCACCCAGTGGGTGCTATGGGGGGACGATCTAGTACAGTGATGCTGGCTGGATCATTTACAGGATGAGGTAGGTTGACATGCACAGTACAGGTCGAGGGGGCTGTGCATGCAGTACCTTGATTTTGATTCCTTGTAGGACATCTTTGCGTAATTGCTGCCTGGCACGGCATCTTGCTGGATATACCTTTAGTATTTATTGGTTCGGTATGCGGTACCGTACCGAGCCGCTGCTGCATGGCATTGCCAGGTGGATCATGATAGATTCTCTGCCCGCTTCATTGCATTCATTTTACTCGGCCTGTGCCAGAGACGGACACCAGGCGGTTGCCCTGGGGTAGGCTTGTTCTTGTTGCTTATTCGCAACTTTTCCGGTTGCTGGTATGCAACCTTTCCATTAACTCTATGACACTTGTCTGTTGCTTGTATGCAACTTTTGTGTTGCTTGTATGCAACGTGCCACGACCTGATGGCTTTTTCAGGTCCTTGATAGTTGCTAGTTATTCTTTGCAATCTTGGCTGACTAGATTTTTGAATGCCAAGATGCCCGCACAGTATGTATCGAAAACCGCGTTAGCCTCATGTGTTGAGTAAGGGTGGCATATGGTGGTATAGATATATAGTGCTTGCTTGGAGGCGATCCTTGCGGGGACTTCGCTATATGTGCGCCGGCGGCTATTTTTATTTTTGTTTTTTGGCATGTAATTGCTAGTATTGATCCCCCTCTTGCGATTGGGGCGTGTTTGGTCTTTGAGTTGCATGAGCATGGCTGTAGACTTGGAGCATTTGTCAAATTATTGCTTGCGTGCATGTCTTGTATCATTTGGGTTATGCTTGCGAAATCCTTGGCTTGATCTTGACACACATGGCTAGTGTGATTTGAGTTGTACTTGTGGATCCCTTGGCTTGATCTGGACACGCTTGTCTTGTGTCATTTGAGTTCTACTGTAAAATCCGTGGCTTGACCTTGACAGGCATGTCTTGTATCATTTGAGTTGTGCTTGTGTAATGTTTGGCTTTATATTGACATGTTGTTGCATGTTGGGAGATCGGCCTGGGCATGTTTGTTGGATTTGAAATTATTGGCACGGTAATGTATTTGCAGCATGGGCATGATTGTGGCTTGAGGCATGTGGGCATTTTCGGGTATTGGTAAAGAGCTCTCTTCTTTATATCGATTACCTTGCAGAGAAGCTGGGAGATATGCTGCAGACTTGTCATATTATTTCATCTTGAATGCTATGGTTGAATGTGCCTTAGAGGTTATGACTTGCAGATTTTGGCTTTGGCACTTGCATAACCTTCGAACTTGTAGCCATGTCGTGGGCATGTTCGCAGTATGGCCAATATGCGCCGGGTGGTGCCCATCATGGATGGGGTGGTGCTGGGCATTCGCACTTGGCTGTGCATCATCATCCCTACTCTGCACATGTCCCGGGGCCACCACCGCCTGGAGTTCCACCTGGTGATTTGCATGGCAGGCTCCTCCGATCCAGATCGAAATCATCGAGGGCCCGGTCCAGATCCAGATCGCCTCGGCGTGTGAAGTCCTCAGTCAAGACTGTACGGGCCAGCGACTTGAAGATGGACTTGGGCAAAGAGGCCTTTAGCAAGTTGGTTTTGGAGTGCTTGCTGTTACTTTCTCCTGAGGAGTTTGGCGACATTTGGGTCAGTATTCCGCGTCAACTTCGGGCCGTTGCATGGCGCCCGCCACCTGGAGTTGTTGTAGACATTGACTCACTGAAAGGCGCGGAGCGCATCCAGATGTGTGCCAAGCTCAATGCACTGAGAAGGGAGAGGTGTGTCCAGCTGGCTTCTCCAAAGCAGCAGCCACATTTTGAGGATGAGAACTGGACAATTACTCCCATTTCTCGGCTTTGTTGTTCACGATTTTGGGAGTGTTTCCGCTGCTTCCTTTGACTACGACAAATGAGTCCACGTGGAAGAACACAGTCAAGTACTTGAGCAAGTGTCCGGAGAAACCTGGCTCAGCAGACACAGGTCGACATATTGATGCCAGCACCCGTGTTGCCGATCCCGGTAACCGAGATGTAAGCCCTGACCGGCAGGCGGCAAGAACTTCTGCCCAGACCCCCAAAAAAGGATTGGCTGGACTGTCGGCTTTGGCCAGTGCGACTCCATGTAAAGCAGGTGTTGGGCCCTCCCCCGGGTGATCGCAACGGTGAAGAATTTGCAACTTGGGTCACTGCCAGGATTCAAGCTGATGTGGAAGGTTTGTCTATGGATTCTTTGGAGATCAAGAATACGAACCGCTTTGCAAATTGAAGCCCAGTGCGCCTTTGAAGACTCTTCCTCCGTTGGACGTGATGAGCCCCATTTACCAGCACACCTTTCAGTTCTACTTGCGCAAGTTCAAATCGTTGATTGGTGATGTGAGTCTTGGATCGTCTCCTGCAAAGTCTTTGAAGCGTTTGTGTGATGCTTTGAACTTGGATGTGAGAGGCAAGGATGCACAGGTCCCGGAAGTCCTTGCCCGCTTGCGGGCAACGGACATGGTCCAATCTCCTCCTTGATGGGATTGGTGCGAGGACCCGGGACGCATAGCTTCAGCTTGTGGCGTGGCTTTATGCTTGCTTGCGTTGTTGCGATTTTGGTTCCTGCGCCTCGCCAGAAAGAAAATGGAGGCTGATGAGGCTTTGCTTCGCATCTGTGCCAGCGTTTGGCTATGCATGCTACAGGCACGGTCATCGCGGAGATCTTCGGGCTTGCTTGAATCTTTGGGTGGCTTGCCTTGGAGTTTTCCTTGGGGTACTTTGTGGCATGGATCCGTCATCTACGTTTGTGCGCCGATGTTCCCACAATACTCTTCTTTCGGCCCTACAGCTTTGCCAGACGTATCAATGAGCATTCTTGTCGACTGTTCAATCCGACTGGCTCTGTGCAGCAACCTTTTTTCCATTTTGTGAGGGGAGATGAGAAGTCTTCCCAGCTTATGCGATTGTCCATATGTGAATGGATTTTCTTTCCTGTTGCACATGCGCCTGGTGACAGCAGTGCCCGGAAAGTTCTTGGGATGGAAGGCATCCAAAGGCTTGGTGTGCTTAATCCTCCTAAGGTGCACCGTTTGCTTCGTCATTTTCATGCTAAAAGAACCTTCCCCAGCATTCGCCTATTTGGATGCCGGCGGTCTTTGTGCAGACTTCGAGATAAGACCCCGGGCGGTTCACAGCGGAGGCATGAAGACAAAGCTGCACAGGAGGCTTGGAAACTTGGCTTGCAGAAGATCGTTGCAGCGCTGGCAAGGCATCGTTTTCCTGGCTGTGGTGGGCCTTCTTCCGTGGCTGCGTGGAGGTTGTCCCGGGCTGCTTGGGTGTATGTTGTGCAACGGGCAGGGAATCACGAGGCAGGCTGGCGTAGGGCGAGGGCATTGCGGATGCTGCGTCGGATTGCTCGTGTTCGGAAAGATTTGCCTTCGTCTATTGCTGTGATATCCTGTGATGTCCCTTGGGTTGGTTCCCAGCGGGCGCAGAGCTTAGTTACCAATGCTGTGAGAGATTTGGTGGCTTCTTGGCGACATGCTGGACACTGGCTGCCCATTCTCCGGCATGCGAAGGTACGATTCAAGTGGGCGTCTATGCCTTTGCTAGGTGATATGCTTCGCTGCCACGATTTCTTTGAGAATTTTTCTCACCAAGGCCCTGCTTGTATTTGTGATGAGTTTCTGTTTCAGGATCCCACTTGGCCAACGGTGACCTTTGACGGTAAGGCCCATATTGCCGCCTCTCAAGCGCAAGTTCCGTGGCCATGCCACTTAGAGAAGTTCCGTGCTCTACCAGCTAATTTGCGTTTGCCACCGAAGAGACAGCAAATTTGTATGGCTGTGAGGAATATGCGTAGGCTACGGGATAGGTGCAAGTTAGTAGATGAGGCTTGCTGGGTGGAATCTTGCGTGGCTACTCTGGCTGGGGCATTGGAGGACTTGGCCTTGCGGCATTCGCATTGTTTCTCTGTTTCTTGGATGGATGTTGCCTTGGCTAGGGATTTCCTTGCGCCCTTTTTCAGCCAGATCTTTGATCACAACTTGTCTCGAATTGGTGTCTTTTGTCCTTTTTTGGTGCATGCACATGCTTGTGCAGCTTTGGATTTGGGCGGAGCATCCACGCGGCTCGACTTTGCTTGGGAATCTGATGCGCGGAGACGCGTGGTGTTGGATGTCATGGCCAAGGTTGATGGATTGCCTTCACATTTGCAACCTGCCAAAGTTTCCTCAGTGCCTGTTAGGTCATGGTCTATAGGGAACCCTGTGTTTCTTCCCAAGTGGAAGGGTCCTGGTGTCAAGTGGCGGCTTGTGATCAACAAGCACAGAGCTCCAGCGACTGGCCTCCATTCTGCTGTGTCAAGGGCCATTGACGTTGCTTTAGACCATATGCCCCGAGATCACTGGTCGGACTTTCCTTCGGCCAATGCCTTTTTGGACATGGTGGCTGAGTTCAACGAACTGGTCAGGAACATGTTTGCAGCACGGTGTGGTTGGATTGCTGGACATGGTTGATTGCTTCATCACCTTCCCTGATTTGGGACAGGGTGGCGGCCTTCTGGACTGCACGGCATGTTTCAGAGATTAGCGTGCCTCTCCGAAAGGGTGCTGGTGCTGGCAAGCTTGGTCGTTATTGTGAAATGGGTTGGCAATGTTTTTCCTTTACCCAGATTAGGCAGGTGCTTGCGCACTTCAGCTTGACCAACTTTGTCGCATTGCCCGGACTTCTTGGTCGGGAACTGCGCGGTGCCCCCATGGGCGATGCCTTGAGCGGTGCAGTATTGAGATTGTTCAAATGGGAGCGGGAGTCCTCACAGCGCCCCATGGAGTATAAGGACACTGTCTCAATGCGCAGTTCTTGTTCCAAGTTGGTGCACTTGAATGGCAGTAACATGTTGGTCCTGGACGTGAGCTTTCGTGATGATTTGCGGATGTTTTGCATTTGGGATGGAACATCAACAGGCATTGATAAAAGGAGAGCGTCACAGTGGGCCGCTGCGCGCCTACGGGCGCGATACTGTTCTGGTACCATGGCCTTGGAGGAAGCAGATTTCCAGACCTTCATTGGCTTGCGTACTACGTTTGGTGTTGATGGCTTGTTGGTTGCTCCAGCTTTCCCTGACCCACTTGGTGCATCCTTATATCACACTGTTGACCTCCGTATCTTGCAGCCTTGGTCGTCTTGGAATCCCCGCTCCCAGAAAGTGGTTATCATCAAAGGATGGCTTTGCCGCATTTTCTATTTGTCCAGTTGCTCTCAAGGGAAATCGCTAGCATTTGAGGAGGCATTTGCATCACTATGCTGTCTAGCTGGATTTCCGCGAGATTTTGTAGCTCGGGTAGCTCGGCAATGGGTAATTCAATGGGTATCCAAAAGGGATGCTGGATTATTGCAAGCGGTGACAGAAGAGGTTGAGGAGGCGCTTCGTAGGCCCTCGTAGAGAAATAGTGCTGGTCTGATGCTTTCCTGCTTTTGCTGTCGAGTTGTTGACGTGATTTGTATTTGAGCAGTGGTTTTGGGATGCAGAGATTTAGATGAGCACTGAGCCCTAGGGTTTTTGGTGCGAGACATGCTTCCCGTGCGGTGTGAGCTTTGCGCAATGACGGGTTTATGGAAACGAGGCTGCGATAGGCTGCGTGTGATATACCATGTGTGACATAGTATAAGTTAGGAGCAGGGGCCAGAAGAGGGCTCGTGCATAGATACCCTTCTAGCGAGAGTTTCAGCGTAGGCGAAACGTAGGCTTGGCAAGGGCCTTTCGCATGTAACTAGCGTAGTGGACCCGGGCACCCAGTAGCGTGCACCCAGTGGGTGCTATGGGGGGACGATCTAGTACAGTGATGCTGGCTGGATCATTTACAGGATGAGGTACTGAACTCCCCGGTGACACCTGCGTCCAGGTTAACATGCACAGTACAGGTCGAGGGGGCTGTGCATGCAGTACCTTGATTTTGATTCCATGTAGGGCATCTTTGCGTAATTGCTGCCTGGTACGGCATCTTGCTGGATATACCTTTCGTATTTGTTGGTTCGGTATGCGGTACCGTACCGAGCCGCTGCGGCATGGCATTGCCAGGTGGATCATGATAGATTCTCTGCCCGCTTCATTGCATTCATTCAGTTGCAAGTTTCGAGACGTTGGATAGATCTATCAGCAACACCGGGGCAAATTGTCAGCCAGAGGAAAAGTGACTTGGCAATCGAAAATCACCCATTGAAGTTCATTTTTTCCAATCAAAATCTCGGTTTTCCCATTGCCAGGCTACATGATCAAATTGCCAAAGGCTAAACAACTGCGGCCCTGCAACTTGTTGGCATAGATCCACACATCACCATCCTTCTTTTTCCACAATGGTTTGCCATTCGCCAGCTCCTGACACAAGCCTACAATCCTTTCAAAACATAGTTGTGGAATCTTAAAGGCATTACTTGGAATGCAAACATTTTTAAAAGACTGGCCCTAAAACCAATGCTGCAGATCACTCCGTGCATAAATATGTTTTGCATTCGGGCCTTCTGCAGCAGAAAGATTCCACCGCAATGCTGCAAATGAGTAGTGGGAACCTTCAAACTTGCCAGGTTTTTGGAAGCAAAAACTATGGATTTGTCGAACACAGTCGCAGTTCCACGCCATTTTCCAACATATAAAGTTTAAGGATCTGAACATGAAAGTTTCCACGCACCAAGATGCTACCACAATCCCACCTGCACCCACAACTTTGGCAGAGACACGGCGTTTGCACCAGACATTGCAAAATTGAATTCAATACCCAAAACAATAATTGTTGGTCATATCATACCCTATTGAAGTCCGTGATGTAAGATGAAGTGCTGTAGAACGATGGTTGTCTCTATGCTAACCGGCACGACCAAACCAGGGCCCCATCTTCTGTAGAATTCACGCGCGTTTCGAAATGAGTTGAGAAGCAGCGAAGGCGAGCAATCATGAACGCATATTTTCTTGCAACAAAGAAAGCGCAATAAACAGCACGTTCCATCACAGGAGTTTTACAATACACTTGGAGCAAAGAAAATAAAATTCATTCACCGAGCGGGACAAAACACCACTTTCCCACTTTTCACAAGCAAAATGCAGCATCCGGACGCATCTGCTTCTGAAAAGTCTTGCGCCGGCATCAGGGAATACAGCAGTAGCAAGGTTGGCCCTTCACACCAACGGGTTCCGTCCTCCATGTGCAAGAGCCCGGGTGTTGCACAAGCACTAGATGCTGTCTCAATGTTGGGTTGCTAAAATCTGTTATTGCCAAAACGTTGAAAAACTCAAGCTACAAAATGGAAGGGCCCAGCAGGAATACTCCAATAATTCTGAACAAGATTTCACATGAAATGCCAAATTTATGTCCAGGAAAGGTTGAATAATATATTTTTAGAAAAATATATTCCGGCAAGAGACCCCAAACAGTGTGTAATTGGGATTGTAAAGGGAAAGGTGGAAAGGACCCAAAATCATAAGTGGCTGCAAGCTAGCAGGGCAAGAGCGAGTAGTGAAAGCATGGTGTTCATTCAGGGTGGCCTTTGGAATAAGAGATGCCAGGTGAGATTTTGTAAGTTCCCTTGCGAAGATCTCTGTAGAAGATCGTGCGCAAGATCTCCTTGACAGGTTCTCTGTAGAAGCTGCTGTGCAAGATCCCTGTGCAAGGCTATCTGTACAAGGTGTCTAGAGGAGATCTCCACAGAGGATTTTTGTAAGGGATCTCAAAGTAAGATCTCTGTTCAAGCTATCTATAAACGATCTCCAAGCAAGACCTCTGCTCTCTTCACAATGTCTCTGTGCAAGATCTCCATAAGAGGTGTCCTGGCAAGATCTCTGTACAAGATCTCTAGAGGAGGTCTCTTGGCAAGAATTCTGTATGAGATTTCTCGTTTTGTGTGAGCCTGCGCAGTCGAAATGCACATGGACATGTCACAAGAGCCATTTCATGCGGAAATTTACGGGAACTGCCAGACGCCCCAGCCGGGCCCCTGTTTCGTGCGGATCTGCGCAGTCGAAATGCACATGGACATGTCACAAGAACCATTTTATGCGGAAATTTACAGGGAAACTTGCGAACCCCCCCGGATACCACCTCGAATGAACACCGGGCCTTAACCTACCGTAAGAACCCCTCAGTGCGGCAGTGTGGCCACACTGTTTGGGAAAAAGCAGCACCCAACTTCCCGAAAAGCACTCAAAATGCCCTCCTTGTCAAGTGTCCGGGTCCAGCACCTCCATTTCTTTTAGAAAAATTGCTTAGTTTGCAGACGGGCGAAGAAATACTGCCATGGTTTCGGGTTGAACAAAGGAATCAGCAGTTGCCAGAACCTGGGTCTTTGAAATCCATCAGCGATGCCAACGGTTGAAACGAAGAAATCAGGGACACCATCCTCTCCATTGTTTTGACAATGTGGCAATATGTGGCCCCTCGTGTTTTGTGATGTTCATTGTGGTGATATCTCAATTGCCATTGACCAATTGAAAATATCCCGCCCGACTTGCCGTGATGTTGTGATCTTCAGCTCGGCATCTAAGCCGGAAGGCGCTGCCAAAGTTTCACCAACGTGTCAGCTATGCTGGAAGGCCTAAACAATTGAACAATAGTGCGTGAAACAAAGGTTTTCTCAACCCCTTGTGAATCCTTCAAGACCCTATCACCATGTCAACTGGTATGGATGGGTCAAAATGTGTCAAGATGATTTACGCAAAACATGGATAGTTGAACATGATTTTGTGGGTGAAAGGCTGGGATAGTTTTTTTTTCCATTGGCCAAATGGGTTTGTGGGGCGATGTAGTGTGCGCTAATCATAATAGTCACAAAGGACCCAAGAACCGTTCCAAACGTCAGGCAGAGGGTTGAGCCCGAGCCCTTTACCCGTCCCATCTTCAGATCCTCCCCCTTTCCACGTCCTTTTCAACTCACTTGCAATTTCCTGCGAGATATCCCACGCTGCGCTTGCTTTCTTTACAAGCTCAAAACTATTTCGTTGGTCATACGAAGGCACCTGACAAATGCACTGCACTGGATCTCTGGCTGGGTCGCAGGCTCATGTTCTGTGGCAGGGTTGCAGGCTTGGCAAGGAGCAGAACCCCCTTTGAAACCCTCCTCTGGCAATGGCCGGTTGAAGTGCATGGCTGAGCCCGTGTCAGAGGAATGGCAAGGCCCCCATGCGCTACCTTTGGAACCCGGCAGTCTTGGCACATCAGCCTGAGAGCCTCACGGCGGATGTGATAGCAAAAGTGGCGCATCGGGTGCATCCTCTCTGATGCTCGCTGTGCCGGCCATCACGTGACGGGCTGCAGCGCTTGTTTCGGTGCAAGGCGAATTATCATACCGTGGGAAAGGAACAATATGCTGAAAATGCCTAAGAATAGTGAGGCAGTCTTTTTCAGCACCAAGATCACGGAAAAATACTGCCTTTTTTTCTCCCAATACAAAAGCGCTGCTCCAAAAACTTGTGGCAACCGGACCAAAATCGGCTCGTAGGCCGCCGGCCTGTGTAGTTTTTCACAGCGCAGCATCAGCGTGGCTTCAAACCGTGCTGCCAGAAGCAACCTGTAAAGAATGTGTCCACAATCAGCGGACAAGACGAAATACAAAATGTCACAGGCCCTGTCAAGGGACGTCTGTGCGTTTTCGGGCGCTTTGACAAAAATCCGTGTCACTTTCGAATCTTTGAATGAGAGCCATTGAGAGCTTTATATCATCAAAATTCTTTGTCTTGTAAGAACATGGGACAAGAAACCGGCTGCTCATGACTTTCTCTCGGCATGGGCGGAAAAAACACAGGGATGCTGACTGCAAGAAGAAAATGCCTAAGAATAGTGAGGCAGTCTTTGTCAGCACCAAGATCACGGAAAAATACTGCCTTTTTTTCTCCCAATGCAAAAGCGCTGCTCCAAAAACTTGTGGCAACCGGACCAAAATCGGCTCGTAGGCCGCCGGCCTGTGTAGTTTTTCACAGCGCAACATCAGCGCGGCTTCAAACCGTGCTGCCAGAAGCAACCTGTAAAGAATGTGTCCACAATCAGCGGACAAGACGAAATACAAAATGTCACAGGCCCTGTCAAGGGACGTCTGTGCGTTTTCGGGCGCTTTGACAAAAATCCGTGTCACTTTCGAATCTTTGAATGAGAGCCATTGAGAGCTTTATATCATCAAAATTCTTTGTCTTGTAAGAACATGGGACAAGAAACCGGCTGCTCATGACTTTCTCTCGGCACGGGCGGAAAAAACACAAGGATGCTGACTGCAAGAACATGCGCCACACAGCGCAACCGAAGGACAGAAATTCCGCGTTTTGCTGGCAAAACCGCCCAAGAATCTCCCAACGGACGCTTGCCCAAGTCCGACATCAAGAGCTGCACGTTTAGCTTTGGCAAAACAGCCAGAAGGTGTCCTAAAATTTTGGTACCCCCAAGTCATCCAAAATTAGACCATTTTAGTATTGAAAAGCATGGTTTCGGAGATCCAGTTTAAGACACCCCCATGTCCCCTGAAAGGGATGGGTCACATCAAGAGTTACACCAGCGAAGGAGTCATCATCACTGGGTCACTATGAATGTTTGGGCAGGGATGGACAGTGAAAGCTTGTGGCGAGTGCAACAATTGCGTTTTTAGTATGCTTCAGTCATTTGGGTCCTTTGTCCCAACAACCTCGTCAAACCTGTTCTTTGCACTTACGGCTTTTTCACTGATAAAGATCTTGAAACTCCCACAATCGCCAAGCATCTGTTTTAGCTGTTTTGTTTGGTGCACTGAAGACCAAAACAGATCAACAAAGGCTGCTGGCTCACAGCGCTTCAACAATTTCAACAGTTTCAACGACCAAACATGGTCACAGGATGTCACGTGAGTTGAGGCCAAACTTGGAGCAGAGGTTGTTAACCTGTTGTCAACCTGTCAACCTGTCAAGGGGCTTTGGCAAAAAGCTGCCGGAAAATGATCAACTCACTTGACATCAAAGAGATGACTGGTTGGAAACTCTGATCCTCACCTGACCTGCAATCATCGCTATCAATGGCCTGTCGTTGGCAGTTTCGAGCGCAACAACTGTCACTCCGAAACCTTTTTTATGCTGCCGATAGGAATTGGAAGCTAACACGCTTTTCGTGGATTGCACACCTTTATCCATGGGTGCTCCCAAACGTGTCACTACCAGGCAGGAGTTCTTGTTTGAAAAACCATCGGACGTTAATTGGATAAGCTTGACAGCAAGGGCACTGCAGCAGAGTGTAGAAGAGTTTGCAATGCTAATCGCTCGCAGCAGCTCTCTTGCTTTCTGAACCTTGTGCATGATGCTGCATCTGATCTGGCTGTAGCATTTAGACTCCGTCCAAAGTCCAGTGTGCCTTGCCAAAGCTCGCTGGTGTCGAATTGCGCTGGGACCACACTCCTCCGTTGCTCTCGCCTGCCTTCAAGCGTGACAAAGTGCAGCAGGGTGTAGAAGAGTGTGCCGCGCTAATTGCTGCCACGGCTCTCTTGCCTTCTGAACCCCAACAGCACCAGCTATGGCTGTAAACTTTGCAGCGTTGCGCTTCTCTGCAATGCACTTCTGTGGGTGTCTCAAAGCATGGCCTTTCGTGCATGATCGGCTTGCAAAGCGTGCCTGGCTTCGGTAGACGCTCAGAGAGCGAGCCTCCTCTGTTCTCGCCTGCTCTCAAGGGCATAGAATGAAAATGGCACGCTATGCATTTTACTGCACCTGCGATGGTTTACTGCCTAACACTCGCTGAAAGACTTACATGCTGTCTTTCTGCCATTGGGCCAATATGTCGGGTATCTTCGAAGAGACGGAAAATCAGCATAGGATTCCTCAAGAAAAGCTACAACGCAACAGAATGCACTGTACCCATTTCCTAGCCCTTAGCGAGAGCTTGCCGGCCTCAATGGCTTTTACTCATTTAGTCTCCACCCAAAGCACATGAACACATTGATGGGTGGCTGGCTCTGAGCAATCTTCATGCCATCCAGTGTCTTGTCACGCAGCCCTCGCCTGTTTCACCAGCCCAGAAAAAAATGCTGTACCTTCTGTAGCACGTCAAGTGCAGCTGCCCATCATCAGGAGTCAGGGATATCTGCTGAACAGATCGAACATGTTTTTCTGCACGGTCTGCCCTCTGGAAAGGACCAGAAGTGTATCGTTGCCTGCACTTGCCTCTCAAAGACCATCAACTCGGTGAACTGGACAGACCCTTCAAACAACATTCACTGAAAGCCAAACTCTGCATGAACAATGCAAGACCCCGTACCTGAATACTCATTCCAAGAATCAACAAGGTATGTGTGGCTACGGACACCTTGATGATTCACTCCGGATTGTTTTTCTTCGGTACCTAGACAAAATGACACCAAAGGGAGTTTCTCGTGCAGAAGTGCAGCAGGGTGTAGAAGAGTGTGCCGCACTAATCGCTGCACAGCTCTCTTGCCTTCTGAACCCCAAAACAAAATGCTTTCAAACAGCACCAGCTATGGCTGTAAACTTTGCAGCGTTGCGCTTCTCTGCAATGCACTTCTGTGGGTGTCTCAAAGCATGGCCTTTCGTGCATGATCGGCTTGCAAAGCGTGCCTGGCTTCGGTAAACGCTCAGAGAGCGAGCCTCCTCTGTTCTCGCCTGCTCTCAAGGGCATAGAATGAAAATGGCACGCTATGCATTTTACTGCACCTGCGATGGTTTACTGCCTAACACTCGCTGAAAGACTTACATGCTGTCTTTCTGCCATTGGGCCAATATGTCGGGTATCTTCGAAGAGACGGAAAATCAGCATAGGATTCCTCAAGAAAAGCTACAACGCAACAGAATGCACTGTACCCATTTCCTAGCCCTTAGCGAGAGCTTGCCGGCCTCAATGGCTTTTACTCATTTAGTCTCCACCCAAAGCACATGAACACATTGATGGGTGGCTGGCTCTGAGCAATCTTCATGCCATCCAGTGTCTTGTCACGCAGCCCTCGCCTGTTTCACCATCCCAGAAATGATTGCCTGTGCCTTCTGTAGTACGTCAATGGCAGGTGCCCATCACGAGCCAGGAATATCTGCAGTTCAATCATGTTGGTTGGGCAAGTTCTGCCCTCTGGGAAGGGGCAAAAGTGTATTGTTGCCAGCACTTGCCGCTCAAGGATTATCAGCTCGGCGAAGCGAGACTCTTCACATAGCACAAACTGGAAACCAGAATCTGCGTGAACAGTGCAAGATCTTGCCTCAATACTCGCTTCACAAATCAATGTGTTCTTCAGTGGAGGACCCAAAGCCAAGAATGACACCAAAGGGAGTTTCTCGTGCAGAAGTGCAGCAGGGTGTAGAAGAGTGTGCCGCGCTAATCGCTGCACAGCTCTCTTGCCTTCTGAACCCCAACACAAAATGCTTTCAAACAGCACCAGCTATGGCTGTAAACTTTGCAGCGTTGCGCTTCTCTGCAATGCACTTCTGTGGGTGTCTCAAAGCATGGCCTTTCGTGCATGATCGGCTTGCAAAGCGTGCCTGGCTTCGGTAGACGCTCAGAGAGCGAGCCTCCTCTGTTCTCGCCTGCTCTCAAGGGCATAGAATGAAAATGGCACGCTATGCATTTTACTGCACCTGCGATGGTTTACTGCCTAACACTCGCTGAAAGACTTACATGCTGTCTTTCTGCCATTGGGCCAATATGTCGGGTATCTTCGAAGAGACGGAAAATCAGCATAGGATTCCTCAAGAAAAGCTACAACGCAACAGAATGCACTGTACCCATTTCCTAGCCCTTAGCGAGAGCTTGCCGGCCTCAATGGCTTTTACTCATTTAGTCTCCACCCAAAGCACATGGGCACATGGATGGGTGGCTGGCTCTGAGCAATCTTCATGCCATCCAGTGTCTTGTCACGCAGCCCTTGCCTGTTTCACCATCCCAGAAATGATTGCCTGTGCCTTCTGTAGTACGTCAATGGCAGGTGCCCATCATCACGAACAGTTAGGCATATCTGAGGAACAGTTTAATCATGGGGGAAGTAGTGCGGAAGGGGGCAAAAGTGTATTGTTGCCGGCACTTGCCGCTCAAGGATTATAGTACTTACCGTTATTATAGAAGATATTCAGGAATTATTTCAAATAGAAGATGCTGTTTGGGGGTGCGGCCAAACGCTTTTCAAATAGAAGATATTGCAGAGTGCAAAAGTAGTTCAAATGACCAAAAATCCAAGAATAAACCCCTCAACATTGGGATGATCTTTGGAATATCTTCTATTTGAAAATCTTTTGTCCCACTGCCATTTTTTGTGTTTTTTGTAGGGAAATTATCTAAAATCAATAGAACATTGACGCCCGGACCTGGGTGACCCCCCGAAGAGGAGAGTGCCAAAGTACCTCCCGAAGTGGGACCCGGCCGGAGGTACTTTGGCACTCTCGCCTTCGGGGGGGGGGTCGGTGAAAAACTGTTCAAAAACCATGGGTTTTTTAGCTTTTTTGATTGGGGGATGGTGATTCAAACCACTTTTCAAATAGAAGATAATCTGTAATGCAATTTATTTTTCAAATAGAAGATATTCGAGGGGTACTGAAAAACATTTTTCAAATAGAAGATATTATTTCATGAGGGAACCCAGAGAGTTCCACCAAATGGTTTTCAAATAGAAGATATTCATTTGTAACCCCATGAGTTCGACAGATCCCAAATGCATGAAAAACAGTTTTCAAATAGAAGATAATTGATTTTTGGCTTGGTTTTGGGCCTTCATAGGCTGGGCATAAAAGGGGGCACAAAAACGCAGTCTTGAAATGAAAAATGATAGAGATCCCGAAGCACCGAACAACACTAGGAAAAACATACATCTCATCCAATTGTCAAAAGCATTTTCAGATCATGCTCTAACCTCGCGATCCCTGGAGAAAGACAATAATTTGAATATCTTCTATTTGAAATGCCTGTGGGAAAGCCTCAATACAGCCAGTTTTGCACGTAAAATTGGTGAATATCTGGGCTGCCAGGGGTGATGCAATAATC